CTTTCTGCATGCCAGACTTCTTGGAGTCCGACTGGCTACCAGGAGAGCAAAGGTCGGTTGCTTGAATATAGCTTTCCGCCTCCCTCAGGGCCGCCTGTAAAGTAAAAGCCCCTTTTCTCACTATGTCGAACTTAAAGGTCGACCCGTCTCTCAGACCCTTAAAGAAGTCTGTAAAATCTACCTCGTCAGACAGTCCTTGAATCTGAATTCTGATCAGATTGAACCGCCTGACATAGGAGCGTAATCCTTCTCTCTCTCCCTACTTAATGGTGCTCAAGTCAAGACTTGTTTTCTTCGCAGGGATGTTCATTGAGAAGTTGGAAGCAAACAGGAAGGCAAGCTTCCTGAAACTATCGATGGACCCGACTGGCAAGTTGCCAAACCATTGTTGGGTAGTACCCTTCAATGTATCCGGAAAGCATCGACACTAGGTGGCATCATCCAACCCTTATAAATACATGAGGTTGGTGTAAGACATGATGTGATCTTCCGAGTTGGAGGTACCGTCATAGGTACCTACCAACACATTTTTAACCTTGGCCGGTTGTGCCGCCTCGGTTATTTCCCGGGTGAACGCAGAAGGTTGTTCACCTAGGCGGAGCAAACGAAGCTGTCAGTCCAGTTGCTGGATGTTGTTGTATGCCGCCTAACCTTCGACGAGGGTCGACTGCATGAAATGAGGAGAATACGGACCGTAGACCAGAGGTGGTACATACGGTGCATTCCTAATCATATGAGGGCCAGAATGGACGGTATTACCGCTTGTATGGCTCTCATGCAAGGATGGCACATTCCCTGCAGATGTATTCTTGAAGTTGTCTGGAAAGCTTGATGTAGAAGCTGACTCAGACAACTGCTGATTTCTCTTGCGGGTGATGATCTCCCGGGCGTCAAGAGTTGATTTTTTGTTTCCCACCGACTGTTCAGTCCGACGGGGATTGCTAGTATTCCTCAAAGGCAGAAGAATCTTGGACCAATCAATGATCCCGGTTGCCTTCTCCTTTGGATGAGGAGTTGGCTGCCGATCTCTGACTTACTCCCCCTTCTCTAGAGGAGTCTTCCTTGCCGAGTGACTCCTGCTTGGGCCAGCCCGACTCTTGGTGATTAGATCCTTAATCTCACCCTTGAAACTAGTCATGAATTTCATGAGTTCGTCTCGAGTAACAGGAGCTGATCCACTTGCCATATGGGTTTCCCCTTCTGGCTGTCCAGGGGCTCGGTTTGTACCCGCCTGGCTGGCACCCCGCTCCAAAGTGTCTCTGGGCAGGATGCGCTTGGTTATCAGAGAGCCATCACTGGCTATATAAGTTTCAACCTGAGGATCATCATCCTCTTGGTCAGTAAAGACTTCCGGTTCGTCTACCGGACGCTCAGGAGGCGGTACAAACTCTTGAACCATCCTTGATGTACTTTCCCCACAGACGGCGCCTAATGTTTTGGGTGTTATTGTCCTTCGAGAGAGTTACGTCACAAAGATTGGTCCGGTTAAGCTGTATCTGCAAAAACAACGGAGACTCCGGGTGGTGGAGCTCCGCCTCCCACGATCAAGTTAGTAACTTGAAAGAGAATAAAGAGTACGAAAATTTAGGTGGGGATCTGCTTGGATTCCAAGCTCAGGTGTTTCTCTGATGAGAGAGAAAGTAGGCGTAATAAATGATTGAATGTGTCCCCAAAATGGGGAAATATCTCCCTATTTATAGGGTCGTTGGTAGAAGTGCCCCTATCTAGGTCACTTGACCTAGGTTTTGGTGGGCTGCGCCGAATTACTACGCTTCTTGGGATTTGGGCCCTTGAAGGCCGCCATTTCAGAAGCTTATCTGAAGGGGACACGTGTCAAGAGGCTATTGGGCCACTTGGGCCATCATGAACTTGACACGTGGCCTCCTCTCATTGGTCCACATGTCTAGGGTATTTTTACCCTAAACAGATTTGGTATATGTTTGATGCATATGTGTGGGAAGATTAGGATATATAGTTTGTTGATTATCAATGGTGGGTTGTAACTAGATTAAAAGATTAATAATGTATGATTTAGCTTATTAGTGTATTTAAAAATTGTATTTAAGTTATTTTAGTGAGGTGTGAATTTTTTTAGTATCAATTTCATTATAGTGGACGGTTTCAAAATAAGTACAAATAATTATTACATAAACTAATTTAATGACAAATTCAAGAACTTATAGATTGGTCCAAGATTCTTCTGCCTTTGAGGAGAATAATTAAACTTAGAGCATGCACAGCGGATAACCATTATGCATGGTTATTAAGAGAGAGAAACTAGAAAATTAATAAAAAATTGATGAGAGAGAACATTATGGAGCAAAATTCTTGTAACCAGGTTATTGTTGTAACTGGTTATGAAGGGTGGTTATTGAATAAAAAAAACCACTTTTTGAGTTTAAGTTTTGTCCTTGGTAATGTGGCACAAGGAGATTGAGACATCCATTTATTTGATGAACGGTTGAGATTTACTATGAATTTATAACCGTTGTAATTTTTGTAACGAACATAATTTTTAAAATACACTAGGGTATCCTACGTGCGCGATGCACGCGAAAGAGTTAGCTCTTGCATAGAAGTTGTATTAGCGCGTAGTTACACCTTTGGTTTGGGTGGTATATCTGGTAGTTTTATTACGTACTATTTGGCTTATGTGCCTATATAGTGGTTTTGTAGAAATATAAAAAAGCCACCAAAATCTTAAATGATAATTATATTTTAAAACTCTCAAAAGTTTGACAGTGTTATTTCAAAATTATTATTAAATAATATTTAATTGATTTGAATCCCTTCATATCTTAAGCTAGTTTAGAACTCTTAATTGATTTGCATCCCTTCATATCTTAAGCTAGTTTAGAACTCTTAATTTATTTGCATGATTCAATAATACTTAACGTATTATTTTCATATGTGAAATGTTTGTTGTAGCTAAAAACTTAATAATGTAAGCTCAATGTTCTACGACCATCTAATATCTTTATCTATATCTAATACTAAAGCAATAACCACTTAGTTATATTTTTCCTCTTAAATTCTCTCCATATTTAATACATTTTTTTTCTATCATCGATTTCCTTCGATTTTAGGATTTTAAAGTTATTTATACCTCTTGATAACTTCTGCTCAAATATCATTATTTAATATGAATGTCATTTAAATTCCACATTGTGTATGTGCGTGCCATCAAATAATGTACAATTAAAAAACTAATAAACCTTAACAATATTTGTAATAATTAAAGGACAACAAAATTGTAAATAAGAAGAGCAACCACGAAGGAGTGAAAATAAATCATCTCGTGGTAATAAACAAAGTCTTCGTACATACAATTTTTTTTCCTTTTAAAATAAAAATAATAACATATGAAGTACAAAACATTATAATTTTTTTATTAAAAAAAGGCATTACAAGTTTTTGTTTAAAAAAAAAACTTGGAATTAATTGATGGTATGTTTAATGAAAAAAATCTCAATTAAATATATTAATGAGAGTAAACATATTAATGAAGGTAAAAAAGTAAATATACATTTTTGTACACAATTAGTACATATTTTTTAGGGTACAGTTGGTAGCACACTATTACTAAGAGTTATTTTCTACTTTTTATAAGGTAGGGAATTCTAAAAAATAAGATAAAAATACTATCGGCTCTATTTTATTTTCCTCTATAAAATGAGCCCAATATTGAGGTATTTTAAAACAGTTTTTATGAAAGTGAATAATACTCTTTTGTTAATCAAAGTGAATTTTTATACACAAATATTTAATAAAACCCGGTGTACAGTATTTTACTGAATGGCGGCGGAAAGAAAAGGAAGGTTTTACTCACCCACCCAAGTTAAACATATTTTTCGCTCCATTCTCATTTCCCACTGTCAGATACTAAAACTTCTCTCTCCTCCTTTTTTTTTCTTTCTCCTCTTCATCTACTCAAACTTTCTCTTTCATTCTTTTTGGGTGATTCAAGTTTCTGCCTTCCATTTATTATATCCCTTCGATTTTCAGGTTTATTGTCTTAATTACTTTATGATTTTTTTTTTCTCAGCTTCTAATTATAATGGTAAGTGTTATTTTTTTTTTTGGAGAAGATAATTGCTCCTTGTACTTTTCAAACAAAGGAATCGATGTTATACAAAGTACCAGTATAATTTCTGAAGTTGTGATGTAACTTTATTTTATTTTATTTTATCTTTTTTTTTTTTTAATCTTTTTTTGTTTATTTTGTTGATTTTTCAATTTTTTTGTCAACTTTTAATAGATTATGGGTAACTTTTTCAAGATTATGGGTAACTTCCGTATATATAAGAGTAATTTTTTATGAGTGAAAATATAATGGGTAACTTTTTTTGATTTTAAAAGGGTAACTTTTGTGCATAAAAGGGTAACTTTTATTAGAATAAAGGGTAACTTTTATTAGATCATATACACTTTATGTGTTCATTTTGTGCAAGTCATGGCAGTTTTGATGTACAACTGTTTTTGGGTAATACACGTAGTTGATTTCATTAAATATTTGGTATTTCACATGAAATTGATAATTAAATAGTTTACTATCTGCAAATTTGTGAAATCATTTGAAATGTGGCAAAGTAATGTGATTATATTCATTTTGATGGAGCTAGTTTTGTACTGCAATTACTGTGTTGCTAATGTAAAATGCAATGACAGGGATGCAACCCGCCAACAATGGATATGGCGGGGACTGGCAGATATTAGTGTGTTTTTGTAAAATGTGGGTCACTTTTGTGGAAAAAAAGGGGTCACTTTTGTGAGAAAAAGGGCCACTTTGTGAAATATGGGTCATTTTTGTAAAAAACAAAAGAGTCACTTTTATAAGAAAAAAGGGGTCACTTTTCGCAAAATATTCGATGTACAATAAAATTATTGTAAACCGGGGGCATGCAAAAGTTTTTGATTTTTATAAGTCATTTTATCTAATTAATATATGTTAATAAATAATTATTAGTGTTGATTGAATATTATCAAGTGCATTAGTTATATATGATAGAATTTAAGATATAGATTGTGCGGTGTGGTTGGGTAAAAGTACGAGAGAGAAAAAAATCAAAAAGTTGTGGTTAACTATTGGGATACATTGGTTATTAAATAAGTATAAAAATGGTTATGGATTAGATAGAAGATAAAAAAATTAATAAAATAATCTATAATCACAATGGTTGTGGGCAACCATTATGTTTACTCTAAACTCCATTGATAGGAGAGATAAAACATGGTGGGGTATTGATAAAGGAGAGAGAATGGTGGGGTTACTCACCATTGTAGGAAAAATAAGGGAATGACTCAAGAGAGTGAAATATGATGTGACATTAACCGGACGTTTTCTAACGATTTACACCCTCTGTTTCTTCTTCATTCACCCATTCTTCTCTCCTCTCTCCTCTGTAATTTAGCAAACATTCTCCATTGAACAAGCCTCATCAACTACATAAACATAATCATTCAGCTACCAAAGAAAATTAAATCATACACTAGCAATAACAACATCCCACCATTAGCAATTCCATCAATTTCAATTTCATAAAAAATTAAATTAGTAAAACCAATCGTGAAACAATCAAGTCCAATAAAACTTGCAGTAAATTTGCATAATCAACATTCACAATCAAATGGAAGGAAAGGGTAACAAATTGGTTCCAGAAAGCCCACCCTTGCCACCACCAAACCAATAATTATCATGCCCGCTTCCGCCTCCGCCACCACTACCATCACCATACCTCCTATCTTCTTCGAGAACCCACTACCATCCTCTCTCCTTCCACCATCCTCCTCCTCATACTCATCTACTCCTTCATCCTCTTCTTCCTATTCCCTCCTCCGCCACCACTACCACCACCATACCCAGAATTCCTCGTCGAAATAGCCGCCACATTAATTTGAAATTTGATTCGAATTGCGACATACCGGACTTGTGGAGAAACAGCTCTCGAATTGCAGTATGGCCAGTATCTTAGGGAGGAGAGTCAGAACTCATAAGAGTGAGGAGAACGGAGTAACAATAGGTGTTGCAACAGAGTGTTGATACAGAAGCAGTTAACGCCAACAGTATGAAAATGACCTTTTGACCCTTTTATAAACGTAACTTGTTAATATGACATATTAACCCGTATTTTCTCTTTAATTTTTATTAACCTAAGCTGCTATTAAACTTTATAAACCAATATCAGCCGGAAGTAAAAAAAATTGTGGTACCGCTTGGAAAAGTCGAAACCTGGAGTATACTAGTGGGAATTTCATTAAAAAAAAAAAAAAGGAAAAAAAAAAAAAAAAAAAAAAAAAAAAACTTAGAAGTATGTACACAGTACACTCTTATGCTGCACGGCTGCAGTGCTGCACCCTTTTCTCTCTCCCTTCCATTGAAGCACATTTTGAAGCAGCTTCTGACCTTTCTCAACTCCATTGACACAGCTTTTCAGATAAGATTTTCTTCTTTAATCATTCATTACTGATTTCATTCTAGGGTTTAGTTTCACACTATCATTGGTTTGTGTTGAGTAATTTAGGGTACTTCACTTCTTCTAAGGTGTATTATTGAACTATTGATTACAATCACCGAACTTATGCTAGATTATAACCAGCAAAATTGTTGTTAGAATTATTCTATTTACAATATACATTGATAATCTTAAGCAACAAGAATTTCATCCGAAATTTCAAGCCTAATTTGAGTCAAACTTGGTTGCTAATGTGTTGCAGACCTTTGTTTATAACCCTTTAATGTTAGGACTGAATTATGCAAATGTACCTATTATCTTGGTGGCCGCTCCTGCCCATGTTCATCGCCGAGCCTGATTAAAAAACCCGAAAGGCCGGAAAGCAGTTTGGTAGGGATTAGGGAAGGATTACTTTGTTTGTATCATGTTTTATGGAAGAAGTAATCTGTTTTCTGCCGTTGTTGCTAGTAGAACTCGGTTTCGCTTTCTTGGGGTTGCCTCAATATCCTCTCTACAGCCTTTTGAACCGAACATTGAGACTATTCCTGGATGTATTTCCTTCTTACAGATGTTTGCTAAGAACTCCAACTTGTACAAAGGCAAAGAACTGCATTCATGGATGTTTAAGCACGACCTTTTGGGTTCTCCTTTATCGATTACGAGTCTCATTAACATGTATTCTAAGTGTGATCACATATCCTATGCGTTGTCTGTGTTTTTGACATCCAAAGATATTCATAATGTTTATACATACAATGCAATCATAGCGGGTTTTGTTGGGAATAATTTAAATGATGAAGATTTTGAGCTTTATGTGGATATGAGGCATCAAGGTTTGCAGCCAGATAAGTTTACGTTTCCTTGTGCAATTAAGGGCTGTTCAGAAGTTGTTGAAGTGAAAAAGATTCATGCTTTGTTGTTTAAGTTTGGGTTGGAATCAGATGTATTTATTGGCAGTGCTTTGGTCAACTGCTATTTGAAGTTCAGGGCTATGAGTGAATCTTATAATGTGTTCAATGAGTTGCTTGTGAGGAATGTTGTGCTTTGGAATGCTATGATCAATGGTTATGTTCATATTGAGGAATTTGAAATGGCTTTGGAAATATTTAGGAAGACGAATGAAGATGGTTCTTTGCCAAATAACTTCACCGCGACAGGGGTTTTATCAGCCTTGGCTATGAGTGCGGACATTATTAACGGACGTTCAATGCATGGTTTTGTTATAAAGAAGGGTTATGAATCGGTTGTTTCAGTTTCAAATACATTGATTGATATGTATGGGAAATGCAAATGTGTTGATGATGCCTCAAGGATCTTTGAGTGTATGGCAGAAAAGGACTTATTCTCATGGAATACAATTTTAAGTGTTCACGAACAATCTGGTGATCAACATGGAGCAGTGGAACTTTTCCACAGGATGTTAGACGCTGGTGCTAGACCCGATTTAGTCACTATTACAATAGTACTTCCTGCTTGTTCTCATCTGGCTGCTCTGTTGCATGCTAAGGAAATCCATAGGTACATGATTGTCAATGGGCTTGGGAGTAGTAAAACTGTGAGTGATTTTGACCACTTGCTTGTAAACAATACTCTTATGGATGTGTATGTAAAATGTGGTACTATGAGATATGCATACATGGTTTTTGACAAGATGATTTTCAGAGATGTGGCATCTTGGAATATCATGATCATGGGATTTGGCATGCATGGCCAAGGGAACGAAGCATTATCTATGTTTGATTTTATGTGTGCTGAAAAAATAGCACCAGATGAGGTGACATTCATTGCTATTCTGTCAGCTTGTAGTCATGCAGGTCTTCTAAGGCAGGGCCGTGAATACCTTTCACAAATGGAGTCTGTATATGGTGTGGTTCCTACTATTGAACATTATGCCTGTGTGGTTGATATGCTTGGTAGGGCAGGGCAGCTTGATGAGGCTTATGAATTGTTATTGGCAATGCCTATTGAGAGTAATGCTGTTGTTTGGAGGGCTTTTTTAGCAGCATGTAGGCTCCATGGAAATTCTACTTTTGCTGAAGTTGCTGCCAAGCATATAAATGAACTTGATCCCGAACACTGTGGAAGTTATGTATTAATGTCAAATATTTATGGTGCTGCTGGTCAATATGAAGCAGTGTCGGATTTAAGATTGACTATGAAAGGACAAAACATAAACAAGAATCCTGGTTATAGCTGGATTGAGGTCAATAATAGTGTCCATATCTTCGTTACTGGTGACCAGAATCATCCTGAAGCTAATTCAATCTATGCCAGTCTAGACTCATTGATTGCTCCTCTTTGTGAGCATGGATATGCTCTTTCTTCCCTATAAACAATAGGAACTTGCTTTTTCTCAGTGGTGAGATACAATTGAAATTTTTTCTTGAATATGCCGGTTAGATAAAGCTGAGGTGGTAAGTCAGGTTCATTGGTTTAATATAGACAACTGATAAAGCCCTTTGTTATGTCTGTTAAAATTGACTTTGTTTGGTTTGCTGGGCTAGGGACTGCACTTATGGAATGGCTTTAAACTGACTTAGTGTATATCTGGCAGTGGCTATTTTGCAGCATATTGGAAGAACGATCAAAGATATGATTTGGTGGTTCTGTAAGTTACTATTATGTATGAACCTTTTCAACTTAGTGTTCTATTTTTGAACTTGTCTGATAAACCCCCCAGCGCCAGCACAAACCAGTTTGGTCTTTGCAAAAATTTGGCCCCAGGTTGTAATCAAACTGTTCCTTGAAAGGACAGACCTTTTTATGGGTTGATGAATTTACTTGTCCTCCGCCAATCATAATTCATAATCAAAATATCTTTGGGATGAAGGGAATTTTATTCCACTTGTTTGTTTATGTTTTTTTTTTCCTTAAATAATTCTTTGATAGTTTGATAATATGTATTTCCTGTATTCAATGCTTAATTATTTCTAAACTTGTTCAAAAACAGATATGAGCTTTTTTCTTCACTTGCTGATTAATTCTCTCAAGTCTGAGTCAAACCTGATGTTTTACTTGTAGTTGTTAGCTCTAGCAATTTAGCTGAAGATTTTGGTAAACTAGTAGCTCCTAGTCAGCAATTTAACAAGGAGTAGCATTTTGGAAATATATAATAACATATGAGGGTATATGTTAATTGAAAATGCTATGAACAGAATGAATGGAGTTTAACATTCTCCAATATAAGTCTTCAAAATGCTGAATTTGTATGGCGCTTCTAATAATACTTTGCAAATTAGCTGTTCGAGTTCCAGCTTCCAAAATACTTAGTGAATACACTATCCAGGAAAAATCTTAACTAAGGTTTTAATTTGGTCAAAAGCCTCTTAATTTTGTTCTAAGTATGAAGTATGTGTTTTGTAAGATGCTAATTGCCATATATAGGCGTGTACATTGGATGGAATAGATTAGGCTTTCCTAAATCCAATTTCAGTCCAAACCTTTTAGTGTTACTATTGAACTGTTAGCATTGACTTATCTGATAACTAATGCTACAGATTGCCTTTGGATTTTACAGTTTTCCCTACGGCTCTTGCAACAGCATTGGATATCATCTGAGCAGTGTATCACTTGTTTTCATCTCTGTTACATTTTCACTTTGGTATGTCTCTTATACTTGAAATTTATGTTTTTGCAATATGGTTTTATCCCTCTGTTTACTCGCCCCAGCTTAAAACCCAATGAGCTTATCCTCTTTGTAAATTTGTAATTGCTCAAATTTGCCCTGTAGTTTGCAGTGTAATTCCACCTCGGATATTTCTTCGTGTCTTTCCTTTAGAGTAGGCGTTATTTTGTCACATTATCTTCCCTCTCCTTTCCATATCATCTTACTGCAAGGACTCAATATTAAGGAAAAGGGTATGTTAGTCATAGTCCATTAGTAGTGACTTGGGGAATAAGCTAGAGGTTTGTTAGGAGAGATTTTCTGTAATTAGAGCTCATTAGGAGGAATAAGGACATGTTTAATATTGTGAGGTTTGTTATTGGGAGAGAGTGAGCCTCTCGAAAGCTCATATTAGGAGAGAATCCACCTCTCTATAGTGGGATTATCGTTCAATTAGCTGTAATTCTCATCTTAATACTATAAACATCATCTTCATTCTTAATTTCTGTCATAATTCTTCTGTTTTACTGCCATCTTTAGTGTTGTAATGAAGTCAGTTCCTAGCACTTGCTTCTTTTCGGATTATGTCTTTGTATATTCTTATGTTTTGTGCTGGAAATAATCTGTTTAATAGCTATAAGATGATGCAATAAGTTTGTCTTTTACTTTAGTCCTGGCTAATAGCTGCACTATTCACATAAGATAAACTTTAGATAACATTATAGCGGCTGATAAACAAGATTAATTATCATCTCGTTGCATTGCCCTTTCCTCGGGTCCAAATTGAGGTTTTCCAATTTCAATTTAGAAATTAAAATTTTTTGTCAAAGAAAATAAAAACAGTATAATTTTACTAGATCTTTGAAGCTCCTATGATGTTCATATTTAGCTAAACAACTTAGTAAAAATCAGTAAGTTCTTGCGGATTTGGCTTGGCTGTCGATGTTTTGTTATTGTAAGCATTAGCATGGAGTGAATATCTTAGTGTGATTTTGTTTCCAGGAAGAAAAGAAGAGTGAGCTGTGGAACACAATCCAGAGAAAAAGCATTCTTGCCCCAACCTGACAAAGTCCATTCCACAATTACCATGTAAGGGCACTATCATTATGATTATAGACGATAGTAGCATTAAGCATCCTAGTAACAAATTGCAAATGTTTTAATTGCAAGCATCCTAGTACCAATCCCCCAATGTAAACATCTTTACATTTTGAGCAAATGTAGTCAATTGGGCCTATTTAAATGATGAAGCAGATTGGTGTCTGTGTTACCATCCCCATTTAAGAATGTTTTAAGCAAAATGTTGGAATAATTTAAGTCAAGAACTTAGAAGACCTGTTGAAGAGAGAGAGAGAGAGAGAGAGGGGGGGGGGGGGGGGGAGGGTGAGCGAAGGGGTATATTGCTACTCACAGTTGTGTGACATGCTTGAAGAGTGCTTTAAATCATTAAGTCTGTTCATTCTTTGTTCTGCGTTCGGACTCTTGCATACGCATCTGAAATTATCTGATATTGTTACCAGCTGAGTGTTCAATCAGCAACTGTTGTTTTATTATACTTGATTGAATAAATGTTAATTCTGCAGCATTGGTGTTGCTAGGAAAGGCTAGCATTTTTATATTTGCTGGAATATTGTTTTGACATTGTTCTCCATAGATTATTTCTAACAACTAGTATCATATACCATGTATTTATCAATTGTCAAATTTATTTATTTGTTTGAGGTGTTTGGGTTTGTAGAGTTAGATTTTCCTCAGTAAGACAGGCATTTATGAACTTCTATGTATTTTGAATAATTGCACTGTGAAACCACAACTCTTCCCGCCTTTCTCTTTGCTGCTGAAACATAAACAAGTCTCAGAGATATTGTCAATGCTTAGGGGGTGTAAGCAAACTAACCTAAAAATTGCAGTGGGAAAAGAAAGGGTTAATTTTTTAAGCATATTTTATTAACCAAAAAGGACAATATAATAAGGAGATCAAAATTAGCAAGGTAGACTATAAAGTTAGGATGGAATGCTGTAGATCTTTTGTTATAGCTGTCTGTTTTAGCTAGCCTAATGCTGCCTTTTTCGTACTTCAGGGTCCAGAACTCAAATGTCCAGATTACATGGTTACTCCTGGAGTCTTGGGACAAGGGATTACCCGAAATTGTATCATACCTTATACATGATCACTGATTGAGCCGATTTCTATCTTGATCTCAAGAACAAGGCATCAAATGGCAACTAGGGCATAAGAATAGATATTGAAGATTAAATATAGAACTATAGAAATGTTCCCTTATTTTTAGTTTATATTTTGTAGATTTGGATTACTTCAATTTTGTTTTCAATTCTACTTCAAATGCTTGTTAAAGATTAAAAAATGTCAGATGACAGCCGGGCTGGCTTTCAGCTTACTACTGTCAATAAGTCTGAGGTTGGAGAACTTGGAGTAGCAAGTTACGATAAAAAAAAAAAAGAATCCAAAAACCAAAAAAAAAAGGCTGTTATAGCTAGCAAACTTGATGTTTGAACAACTTTACAGCAAATTACTTCATAAAATAAGAAATATATTCAGAGCTGGGAGAAGTTATTTCATGGATGCTTCTCTTACTTAGAAAATAGAGTAGCATGCAACCATTTGATAGGAAGCTATTGACAATTAAGGCAGCAACAGACCAACAGTTAGTTTCTCAGACACATTTGGGTGATCGCGCTACTGCATATTTTCTCGCAGGCTTCCATTGTGCATATGCCGATGTATCCATAAATCTACAAGTATACTGTGCCTCTTGCTACCTCTGGTGTGAGTTGATCAAACGACTATAGCATTGTGATTGCAACCCAAGCTTGTTTAGAAGTGCTATAAGGCTTGATGGGTTAATATGGAATGTGTGACATGTCTATTGTAATGCCGGATGTATGTATTCCCAAATTAAATCCTAGTAGTTGGGTGGCTTCCGGGAATCTATATTAGACGTGCTAATTTCATTCACAATGTCATTTTGTGTGAATAACTGGATTTAAATTACCTGATTAAAGACAATTGCATAAAAACCTAAGTAGTGCATAAATGATGATGCCCTCTTTACAACTTCGAGTTTTTCTTTCTTGTTAATTAAGAAAATTACATATAAAATGGGTTTATTGATAATTGTTCTTAGCCTAAACCAGTAAAATATGCCAATTTGGCAATTAAGAACAATTGGACATAGAGGGAGATGCTTCAGGTTTACTAAAAGATATACTTGTATTAAGAAATTATTATTCCAATAAGAGAAATATTATCAAGGTGTTGAAGTAACTCAGTATCGTACCATTCAATGAATGTAAAAGGAAGCAACTTTGTATTATATTATTAAAGACCAAACCCCAATAAAATGCAACTTTGACGTTAGTCAAAACTTTACAATTAAAAGGGATTAGATTTAAATACTACTATCTCCGTCCAAAATTAATATCGAGGTTAACCTTGAACAATTAAATTCGAATGGAGTAGATTAAAATTACAAGAATACATACAATAAGCGCGTAAAAGGAAACATTAAGAGTAGAAAGAGCCTAATTAATTAGTTCCCTTGAAGTTTTTGTTGCTTATAAAAAAGATAGTGCAAAGCTGTTGGTTGATCACTAAGGCAGCAACAATTAGTAGTAGAGATGCAAATAGGTGTTTTTGATCCAATTCCTTCGCATACTTTCTTGCAAGCATTTGGGGTGCATTTGCCTATAAATCCACATGGCATGCTCATGCTACCTCTTGTTTCTGAATTTCCAAGACAAATAAATAAATAAATAAAGCCTTTTTAGAGAAATACAATTATAATGCCAAAATGTACAAATTTATTGAGTTATGAATCATACATGCTTAATTATGAGATGAAATATTAGTCTATAATAAGCCTCAATTTGAGTTAAACACGAATTTGAAATCTTTGGTAATAATTGATGTATTGATTTTGGTAAAAAAAAAAAAAAAAAAAAAAAAAAAAAAAAAAAAAAAAAAAAAGAGAGAGAGAGAAGGTGCAAGTAAAATACAATACGAGACTTGACAAAAAAACATAATACTTAAATTAAATTTGTGCGTGGCAAAAATCAAAATATAAATTATTAATTACACCTGATTCACTATAAACTTATTGACATATTTCAAAAAAAAAAAAAAACTATAAACTTATTGACAAATAAAAAGACAAAAATCAAATTAGCACAAAATAGAAAAAAAAAAAAATACTACTCTACTTTTACCAAAGAATGGACAAAATAGATTGTTACTTAAGACCATAATACTCCCTTCAATATAATCTTTTTGTTCTTCCCACTTTAACTTTTTTTTTAAAAAATAAAATAATCATATAACTAATATATAAAGCTAAACTTTTAGACAGACAATGAGATAGCGACACTTGGCGCTTTAACTTTTCGCCAAGTGTCGCGCCACGTAGGATAAAGTTATATTTTTTTTGAGGGGGTAGGATAGAGTTATATAGAATTGGCGTTTTAACTTTTCGTCAAGTGTCGCGCCATGTAGGATAGAGTTTTTTTTTTTTTTGAAGGGTAGGATAGAGTTATATAAAATTCAATTTGCAGGATAAAAAAATTAGTTTATAATTCTATTTTCAATTAAATTTGGATAGAATTTTATGATGTATTTTTCACCAATATTATTATAATTTGTCATTACATGTCTACCTCATAGTTTAAATCGTCACAAAAACACATCAATTCCTAACTAATTTTGTATCAATGATATATTTTAAAATTTGACATATAAATTAAAAATTTATCTTAAAATTCAATAAACAATCCGGACATCGGACGGGCACAAAACTAGTATATATATATATTAAAAAAAAAAAAAAAAAAAGGGAGGGAGTACAAAATACCATGCAACAAAAAAGTAAATATTTATTAGAAGATTTAAGTTACCTGATGAGAGAAGAAAGCACAAGACTAAAAGGATAGAGACCAAAGTTGAGTTCTTCATGCTTTCCAAATTCAAGAAGCTGATTTTAAAGGCTAAATGTCTACGTAAAACAAGAGTAATGAATGATAATATACATGCAAAATGAATCTATTTATAATTGTGGTTGCTTCAATCAATAGTAATGCCAGCAATCTGTCTTAAACTAATAAACATAATTAAGGGAGGTGTACATGTGACTGTGTGAGGCCCAAGTTTTAATATTAATAAACTTTATCACTTTTTTACCTTTACATTCAAAATCTAAAAATGTAGATTTATCCAATACTTATTTCAACAAAATTATTTACATCAATTTTTGAATGGAGTTAAGGAATGCAAAAACCTCATCTATAATAAAACCTAATTATCTTCTCTTAACTTGCTCATCTTTTTGTACATTATGTACGTACAATAGAAAAAACAAATGGGCCACATTATCAACCAATCGATCACCTTTGTCCTATGTTCTCAAGTTCTCCTAGACAAAAAATAATATATCCCTTAACCATTGCGACATTCACATCAAAAATGGACATAAACCGAGATAACCACCCATTAATTTGAGTACTAAATCAACGCGAGATAGAAATGTCATATTCTACAAATACTTTTTATGTATATGATTTAGGGTATGTTATCTTCAGCTTATTTTCAGTTTAGCCGAGAAAGGGGAAAGGGAATTTTCGAGGGTAGTTTCATGGTTCAGGGGGAGGGGAGGAGGGTAGGTGTTCGGCGGGCTGCCCAGGTGTTGGGTGGCAGGCAGGGGGTCGAGCTGGTAGGTGTGGGGCAGCTGTGGAGGGTGGTTGGGTTGCTAGTAGTGGTTTATTGATTAGTTAATTATTATTTTTTAAAAAAAATTATTACAAAAAATTTATTTTTTTTAAATTTAAATTTAATTTTTTTGACCAATCAGATGTCAACACGTGTCATGTAACTTGTTATAACAAGTTAAATTACCAGTTAGGACCATTTTAAGCAAATTGACATTAAAGGTGAGATTATTAAAAAGTAATCAAAAAGTGGAATTATTTTGAGTGGATGAGCTAAACGTCGAATTATTTCCAGCAATTTTTCCAAACTCATTTGGAGTTGAATGAAAAGGTGCAAATTGTGGAACAAAAGAGAAGTTTCCTTACATGCGCCACTTACATGCTTAACAAAATGTAAGTGGCGTATAATATATTAATACGCCACTTACATGCTTAACAAAATTAACCCACTAAACAACTAATTAAACTAAACAATAGAATTGGGAGGGGGCAGATGAAAATGGAGATAAAAATGTTTTAACGAAAAGTTCGATACTGATAAGGAAAATAGAATTGGGAGGGGGCAGATGGATGAGAGAAGAGCTATCTCTGCTCCATAACATACTGCAGTAGAGCTACACACTTCTACTCAACATATACCAATTGATACACACTTGTTTCCTTTTGCCACTTGATACAAACATCTTTTAGGCCTAAGTTCATACATCAACCCTAACTTTGTGAGATGGACACCTTATCCATCTAACTTGACTGAACAAACAGCATAGCAGCCACTGATGAGCTTTGATTCAATTGCCACCAAATACGAAAGAAATTTGAATATAATCATCCTCAGAATACTAACCCATTGGTGCCACTATTGCTGCTTAGTTCTAAATTTCTAATACCAAAGCCAACACTAGAGAGGAGAAGAGTTGGACCTCCTTTATCCAATTTTAGAGGCATATTCTGCACCAAACAACCGGGATATCCATCTGAGTAGCTAAGAAAGGCTGGCTACTGAGCTGAAGAGCCCGAGCTTCTGGTTTAATCCTCCAGGGGATACAAACTGCCAGTATAGAGAGCACTCAGATTAATTTCAGGCTATATGATGAACCTGCACAAATTCTAGGTAAAATTCACTACCTTCATCAGCTGTCCACTGTCAAATCGCACACTGAACATCTCAACTCTCATTGAAATGCCACTAATGTTCCCAAATAAAGATCTCAACTTTAACGCAGCCATCAACAAACAAGCCGAAAGCAGCCATAACAAGCTTGACCTCGACAAGTTATATCCATATATCCTCAAATAATTGCATGAGAACGCTAATTTGAGTGGGAGCCTGGCTTACCAGGTGATAGCTTGCCTCATGTGTAAAGCTAGACTAAAAAAAAAAAACAAACGAACTTGCCAAAATAACTAAGTTTTACATGTTTGGTTATAGCTGGATACAGGATACGATGGTAATAGACTAGCCTGAATCCTAGAGGTAATTGGTATGGCATATTAGTTGATTAAGATTAGCTTGGTGAAAAAGGCAAATAGTCAATTAGAGCTGACAGAGGGAAGGAGGTTAGAAAATAATTACGTGAATTATTGTTATGACAATATACTGCCAGAAACTAGAGGTGAAAAGCAGCAGATTAAAGAGAGAACAGAACAAGGATAGTAAATTATATTGATGATCCAAGTAACCACACAAAACAACCTCCTTACTTTTGAGAGGTAGGGCTTTCCCACAAGGAATTTAAAAGGAAAAATTCCCAGAGTTATATTCAGCATGCAAAACAGCTTACAATGCATCTATATTTAAAGGCCTCTAACAGAACTCTTCATCCTAAGCAACCCATAACAAACTCCTCTTGTCAGGCATCTCATAACAAACTAGTGTTGAAATACTACTCTACCCTTAGGTAGTTTTAACCGCCTTGGCGCCATTTCTTGCAGGAATAAGTGAATAAAATAGGAGGCTTCTGGTTCCTTGCATATACCCTCTAATTTTCATTGTTCTTCCCATTTTGAATCTTTTTGTGAGATAAAAAAAAGTCAAAGTGGGAAGAACAAAAATGATTCAAGGTAGTAAATCTAGTAATGTAGTAGGAAATGTCAAACCAATCAAAGGAATGTGATTATTGAGTGAATTTTGTTTTGTTAGGTAAGAGAATCAGAAAATTATTTAGTGAATTTAATTTTGTTAAACTTTGTAATAGGGAGTGTCCAGCCAATCAAAGGTCTGGGATTGTATACCAATAATCAATATTCTCCCAATTCCTTTGTCCTCATTTTTATATTTCGAATCTTCAGTTCTAATACAATGTATCATTGGATCTATTAAATAAATGTAAATCCATCCGCAAGTCATAGCTTGATACTAGTAGTTAAGTCTGCTAAGTTGTTTTGAATTCAGCTTTTTCACTTGGTGACAAGCCAGATCAAACAAAAATCAAAATGAATTTCTAATCAATTGGCCTGGTCCATGTACCATGTTTGGGTATTTTTGGCTACACAAAGTAGGAGCCTGACTTTAGCTACCCTCAGTTCTCTGACTAGTGAACTTCAATACTCTAGACAAAAATATAACCTTACCTATCAAAGAGGTAGCCTCGAGCAATAGCTAGCTACCAAACCATAATAAAATCGACTATTAATTGTGTAGGAAAGGCCCAAAGGCTAAAAGCTATAAGATCATGTTAGGGAAGCATGTGCTCATCTACCCTCCTTTCATTTATAGTAAACCCCAAAGAAGCAAACAAAAATGAGGCTTGATCTCCAGTGGGATCCTTGGTCATTTCTTTCTATGACTAGTATAGTCACCATTTACAACAAAACCCATCTGACTAAAGTAGGTAAAGGGCGAAAAGCTACCTATTTGTTCTTCTAGCTACACTCTTCCCATCAAAGACTTGTTCAAGCATCCACACCTCTTATGGAGTACATAATTGTACCCAAAATTTAAATATTAAAAAAAAAAAAAAAAACATACTGTCAATACTGGACAAGTTCAGCTTTAAGCTACTGGGGATTATGAGTCTCACACTGCAGTCTCTCCAGAAAAACCACCCCCTCAAGTGATCGATAAATTGCAGAGACAGCAACACTATCAGAAACCTACAGGCAACGTGCTGCACAAAAATCCCATCTACTATATCTAAACCCAATAGAAAATAGTTGCTATGATACCACGAAAATTCTTCTGAATCTATACAAAACCCACCATTCCATACTGCACATAGTTCTCTAAACTTTTCATTCTCTATTACGAGCAATTAACATGCTATATTGCACTAGCCACCAATACACGGGCATAAAACTAGAGTCAGCCCTCCAAATTCTAAATGCTACTAGCACTAGTTAGTATCGCAAAAGTTAAAAGCTCTGGCACGACATCAAATCCTTAAAATCCAAATCAAAGGTCAAGTGATTGTGGTACGGTCTCCGCCAAAATTTAGAAATTAAAGCTGCATTTATGTCTAGCCTACCATACAACCAACAATGCCATTATGCAAAGGATTATTAAATACCTACGACTTCATCAGATGAAATGCTGCAATGACGAAAACATGATAAATTGATACAAATTAAGTAACAAACTACACCTATTTGTCAATTAATAGACACGAAATAGGTAATAAACATGCTAGCGTATCTCTGATTTCAGTGTCATACATAATTCATATACATACAGTGAATTAATAGCAAAGATTAATCAATTCAATCACCTGGAAAAGTGGAAAAAGAAGATGAAGAACAGGAATCAGATACCAACAGAACACCGTCGGGGCCCACCGGATAAATTCCCCTTGGTAGAATTAGATGAAAATGCAACCGCTAAATCGTCACAGAAAACCCTAAGAAACCGTCTTCGAGCTCTCCAACCTCCAGCCTTAAACCTGACCAACGCCAACACTTGAACATCGAATTTGACGCTACCTCTAGAACGATCATCCCTCAATTTATTCACCAAATCCAACTCAAGGTACGCCGAGGATGCCACAAGCTGGGCATCCATGGTGGTGACATTCTTAGTCCCCTGCTCAAATGGCGGAAGTTGATTCTGGGAAACAAGCGAGTTCTTGTAGAACAAGCGGGCCTCGATCTCGTCGTAGTAGACGTGGAGCTTGTGGTTAGGGTTAGCAACGGAGAAGTGGAGGGACCAAGTGCCGGAGATCTGGGAGGGAGAGGTGGAGGTGTTGAGGGAAGAAAGCGTGGCAGAATCAACGGTGAAAGCTGGGATACGAGGGCGGAGTACGAGCCAAACGATGAGGAGGATGACACCAAAAATGATGAAAACAGCGATGAGTGCCGCGAAGAAGCGGCGGAAGAAGGTAGCGCGTGGTTGGGGAGGGTAATATGGTTGTGGCGCGTTGTAGTTAGGATAATAATAGTTGGATTGTGGCGGTGGCGGGTAACCGTTTTGGGGTGGGGCCGGGTACCCGGTGGCGGGGCGTGATTGGTCTGTCATTCAAGGCGGTTATTTTTAGTTTTAGGAGAGGAACAAATTGGGGGATTTTGATGGTTGAGGAGAGTGTAATGTGTAATGGGGTTGAAGAGAAAAACAAGTCGTCATGCCAACCTTTGGCCACTTTGGGTTTGTACCTTTAGTATACACAACGAAGATGCCACCCAATAACCACACCCTTGCTTTTCTTAGATTTTTATACTAGTACATATTCTCCATTCTTTTAATATTGTGTTAGGGTACATATTTTTAAACATAAGTATGTGATCACAACTCAAAAGGCTAAGATTAAGACAAGGGAAAAGCAATATTCCATCCCACAGATACAAATACTATGTAGGGGCACTAATGCACTATAATTATGATTATAGACGATAGTAGCACTCCTTTGTTCTTTAGAGCTGCTGTGCTCTTCTCTGCTTTGTGCTGCTTCGCTCTGCTATGTGCTGAAATCTAATATGCTCTGCATGTTTTTCTCTGTCAAAATTTGTTCTACTCTGCTCCGCAACGTGTGGAAGCCCAACTCTGCTCTACTTTGCACTTCTATGCTTTGTTTTGTCCAGCTCTACTATGCCCAGAAGCTCAAAAGAACAGGGCCTAAGCATCCTAGTAAATGTCGACGTTCTTTCCTTCCTATTTCAGAGGTACCGATCTCTCAATATATTATGTCTTTATATTTTGAGGATGTACAATAGCGTAAAAACTACATAATTAAGCTCATAAGTAGATTGGGGCATTTAGATTTACATTTTACGGATGTAACAAAAGTGAACAAAAAATATAATATACATAATCTACAAATGTAGGTTAGGAATGTCTTCTTGCAAGACTGTGTCCTAATTTAAAAAAAAAAAAAAAAAAATTGTGTTCATAAAAGGGTCTATATCTTGGTGTATCGGAGTAGAATATCCAAGAAAGACAACATGAATTGCTACCCGATTTCCTACTTGGTAGATATGTTGGGACTTGAAGTTCAAGAAAGGATCCAAAATATGCTTGACATTATTAATCAACAGTTAGAGCTTCCAAGAGCATTTATATTAACTCTACAAGATATAAATAAGTGTTGGATTAATAAAGATATTGAAGATATTATGATCTCTGCTAAGAGGAGGCCATTGCGAAGAGCAAAGGCTTCTGCGAGAAAAGTCAGGCAAAGCCTAGGTTGTAAGTACGGCCAGCATAATGATTCCCTAAATGGTCTCTAATAACAACACCAGCAAATGCTGAATTGTGAAGGGCGGAACCATCAAAATTCAGCTTACAGTAGCCCACCTGGGGAGGGGACCAAGATATAATAATAGGGGAGGGTTGAGCTTGAGCACTAGTATGAATAGGCTTATTGTTTGGAAGGTGGATATCATCCAAGATAGAACAAGCTTGTCATTCATGATACAAAGAAAAGGGGCAAATATAAATACTATTAGTTATATATGCAGGTTTTTTTTTTTAGATTGGCAAGAAAAATAAATACTCCCTCCGTTTCTTATTTCTTACAACAAAGGGGGGTAGCACAATTCCCAAGTCAAAATTTTTAAGGGAATAAAGGTAAGGTTAATAGCATGTGATTAAGTTTTAAAATGGAAGGAAGTATAAGGGACCACCCTTTTTTTTAAAGTTTGACATGGGCTGATTTTTGGGAGGGTGTACTTTTCCCTCCCAAATTTTCACCAAATTTTAAAAATCAGAATTTAGGCACTTAATTTTTCCCTCCTCTTTCTTTTTCCCCAAGGAAGAGAGGGTATAAATAGTTCAAAGCAAAAACAGAGTTTCATAATTGTCATACACCAACATTTTCATCTACCGCCTAATGAATACATATGAGCTTTAAAATCAGCAAAAGTTAGCACTAAAAAAGTTCTTCAACTACCATAAATACAACCAAATTACTTCCTAAAAATAATTAGTGCTAAATTAGGGGCAGCGGCATCATTCAGATTTCTTCCAAAAGCTGGTTCCGTTTGAGTTGTCCAAAAAGTTGCATCCTCACCATCATCACCATCGCCATACCTGGTTTAGAACAAGGTAATATCTGTTACTGGAAACGGATATGGAAGATTTTTTTTTTTCATTAGAGCAGTTGCTAGGAGAAGAACAAGAAGTTTTATCAAGTGACTCATCACTGTCCAGTACAGATTCAGAGGATGAGTATGCTGCAGAGTGGGCATACTCTCAGATTTGACAGAATCAACAGACACAGCAACAAGGAAAGAAGAGGAGGGACCTCACCATTAAACAGAAGAGGCAAATAGTGGATGTCATTCTGTTAAAAATGCAAGGAGGAGATCTGCCAAGGGGTTTTTTTTATCACAACAAGCTAGAGAGCATGACATTCACAGATCAACAATGTCAAGATTGTATGCAGACATTAAAAAACAAATGGCCCAGGGGAATGTCATTGATGTCAGATCAAAAAAATTGGGAAGGACTGGTCCAAAACCCAAAGAGTACTCTGATGAATGGTAGCAATCTGTGCCATTATACAAAAGAACAACAGAGAGAAGCTATGCAGGTGCACTAAATGTTTCACATTCAACAATTCACATTCAACAATTCACAGATTAAGGAAGAAAGGAAGACTGAGGACACATACAAGCAAAAACCATCCTGCATTGACATCCAATCATAAGTGGCAAGGTTGAAGTGGTTTTAAGTCATATAAACCCAATTCCAACTCAAGGGGACCCAAAGTTTTTTGACATGCAAGAAGTCATTCACATAGATGAAAAATGGTTCTACTTGAACCCTGAAACCAGAAAATTCTACCTCCTTCCAAAAGAGGAAGATCCATACAGGTGCCAACAGAGTAAGAGGTTCAAGATCAAGGCCATATTCATGGCTATGATTGGGAAACCAATATATGCAAGAGATGGGACTCTTTTGCATGATGGAAAGTATAGTATCTTTCCATTTGTGATAAAACAGATGGTAAAGAAAAAGAGCAAAAACAAAGAAGCTGATACATTGGAAACAAAGGCTGTACAGAATGTCAACAAGGATGAAATCAGAAAAATGCTAATGGAGCACATCATACCAGCAATACACCAACAATGGCCAGAGACTGTCCTTAAAAATGTGAAAATTCAATGGGACAATGCAAGGCCTCATCAAATCCCTAAAGATGAAGAATTTCTTACTGCTTGTCATGGTAATGGTTTTAATATTCAAATGGTTTATCAACCAGCTCAGTCTCCTGACTTGAATGTTTTAGACCTAGGGTTGTTTAAAGTCATTCAGTCCCTACAATATCAATCCTTCCCCACAACTTTGGATGATTTAATCAAAGAGGTTACCAATGCATACAATGCTTTTGAGGTAAAAGCAAACAAGTACATATGGCTCACATTACAGTCAGTCATGATCAAGGTCCTTGAAAAACAGGGAGGAAACAACTTCTCACCTCTTCATATGAAGAAGAAGAGGCTTGAAAAGTTAGGTGTACTACCTAAACACCTACATGTGCCTAGGCAGTTGATACATGATGCAGTCAATTATCTAGACACAATGTTCATCCCAACAACAAATGGAGCAGAAGAAGATCTACACATGGAAGTTGATGCTGACTAAAGACAATGGAATGCAAAGTCCCTCACAAGTATGTATGACTGCCACACATAACCTTCTTAGTATTTTGCTCACTTAGGTAAGAATTTTTGTTTGTTATTTACATGTTACTAGTATTAGTATGTAATTCTTAGGTTATGTGTATTTTGATGAAACAAATGCAACAGATGTAAGGCAGTCATGTAAAGTAAGGGGATTTGTATTTTGGAAATTGTGGACTAAATGGTAAGATGTTTTTTACTTTGATATGAATGCATGCATGGAAAAAACCTAAGATTGAAAGACCATCAGCAAGGGTATGTGTATATCACTCAGTTTAGCTAGGGTTGTTACCTCAACACCAGTGCCATAAGGCCACTGATGGAGAATGCTACCACTAGCAACTGCTATTCAAATGAGTCCCTTCATCATATGGCTCAATCTAATAAGGCATAGTAAGACAATACCTAGGTTGGGACTCAAAATAAAATCAAATAGGTTGGGACTCATAACTCCAAATCTTCATTAGGCAACAGAATAGCATGACAAACAAATTTAGAGGGTAGGCATAACATAATAAGATCTTAGGGGGGCAGTTGAAACACAGACATATATGCACAAAGATATTCCATAGGGTTGTCAATGTGCATAAGAGTGGGACTCTTAGTAATATAAACTCAAGAACAACACAACCTGACTAGTAGTGGAACATTCAAGGCATCACAGAACAACCAACACAGAGAGTACCACAAGGCTTGTGCAAATAACAGGCTAACCAAATTCCTAACATAACACTGCATCATTCATCAATTAAACAATCCCCTGGCCATTATTTAACCAAAACTTAAGGCATGTAATACCCCGTATTTTTATGTATTTTTATAAAGTATTTAAGTATTAATAAAATGTATTGTCAAGGGCTCAAGTATTTTAATTAAATATTTTAAAGGGTTAAAGTATTTTAAATATAAAGTTTTATAAAAGTAAAATATGTTTTGGGCCAAACGTTTATTAATTATTGGCAATGTAAAATTATTCCTACATACTCTTATTGGAATAACCCATTTCAAAACCTATAACTTAAGCCCTATCCCATAACTCAAGCCCACATTTTTATAAGCCCAAATTTAACCCTACTCTCTCTACTCTATAAATCCCCAAAAATTTCCCACACAAAAAGGTTAGTCTTATTTTCTCTCTCCTTTGTTTTATTAATTTGTGTAATTATAATTATTGATTTATGGGTTTTGATTTTATTGTTTGAAATTAATTTAATTAGTATCAAATTGTATTTTGATGATTGAACTTTATAATTTTCATATTTTGTAAATTTTATAATCTAGGGTTTTTAATTATTGAAAATCATGATTCACTACAAAAAAACTGAGAATAGGCAACACTTAAGATTGCAACACTTACAGAAATGTTCCTCTTAATAATATAACGCAATAATATTTATTTGTTACCTTGAACTGAAGTAACGGAAAAAAAAAGTGTTACTCTAGACTATATAAGGCAACAGTTGTTACCTTTTTCTTGTCTAAGACAACAAATATAATAATTGTTGCATGAAAAGATAACAATAACAAAACTATTGTTTGAAAATGCAACATTTTTTCATTATCTCCTTAGATGGCAACATTTTTCATTTGTTGTCTTTGTAAAAGTGTTGCCTTATGTATCATTTTACCTTGGCTTTCAAAATTGTTGCCTTTGAATAAAAATGTGTTGCCTTATGAATAGACAACGGGGGCATAAATTACGCCTCATATGTGTTGCCTTAGCTACAAGGCAACACTTTTTTTATATTAGGCAATGGTTTTTCATTGTTACCTTTGCTTTATTTTGTTGTAGTGATTTTAGGGTTTTTATGAATAATCGATTTAGGGCTTTTATAGTAAATTTTTTTTGAAATTTCGGTGATTATAACTACTTATTAGTTTAACTTAATTCCAGATTTATTTTGAACACGCAAATTCATGTTTTAATAATTAGATTTCCGTTTGTTAATATTAATCTCGTTTTAATCCCGATCAGGTTCTAAACTCCTCCAATTTTGATAAAAAAAAGTAGTTTCGAGTGGAAACAACGTTTTAAGAAAGAATCACTACCTTTGGTAATGTGCACTACCCTCTCGTGGCCAAATTCAGCCTCTAATAAATACGATTTTCGAGCAGTTTTTGATTTTTAACGAAGTTTTTTTTATGCTTTAAATTTTATCATTGAGTTTAAAAGGGGTATGAGATAATTTAATGTTTCTATGGATAATTTAAGTATAAAGATGTATTTTGATGAAGTTTTAAAGGATTTTTGATTAGTTTAAAATGTTGGAATTTTATTTAAAGTAGTATAATTGTGATTTTTAATAAAAGGGTGTGATTATCCATTAAAAAGGAGTTTAATTAGGGGTTTTTAAATAATTTTCAGATTATTATAAGTTATTTAAAGTGAGCTTAAGTTGCTGGAAATTGTGTATACAAGGGTAATTAATGTAGTATTATTGTCCCTTTATGTAGGAGACTTGGTTCGAGAATTGTTGTAGAGTACTCGGTTATTTTAAGAGCTTATTTGAGGTACGTACGCGTACTTAGCATATTTTGGTGATGTAGAATCATTCTAGGTTTGATTTCAATTAATTACAAGTAGTATCATGCTAAGGTTTATGTATGGAATTGTGAATTTATGATGTTTGTGATTGAATTGGGAAGCATGAATTATTTGTGATGGTTATAGATTGGAAGATTATATTTTGGGCATGTTGTGTTTGAACCACATTTTTATTTATGGCATGTTAGAAGGCATGATTAATTAAACTACATGTTTAATTATGTTTGGAATATTGAAAAGGAATTTTATTATGGTTCAAATAATTTTTATTGATGCTTTAAGCATGAGGAAGGAGCTATATAAGTGTCTATGTACACAAGGAATAAATTGTATGTTGGTGCCTTTGTGCACTTAAGGTGTTTTTAACACCGAGGGATAGGATTTTTGGCGCATTATGCGTTTAAGTTGTCTTTGACACTGAGGTAGAATTAAAAAGGGTTCAACATTAAATAATATGTGGCCACTAATCATTCAAGAATTAAATTGGTATGTTTGGTTGATTGAATAATTATGGTTGATTGATTTATTATGCTTTGAGAGTCATCACCAAGTCCAATAACATGTAAATAACGTAAAGTGAAAGAGATTACGCACCAAAACTCTTGGAACGTATATACCTTGAGTATGAACAATGGGGGGAGTTATGGGGTTTTATATTTAACCATAACTTCTAATGGAGTACAGGACGTTGTATATTCTTTTTTTATTATTATTATTATGCGCAGGAATTCCGCCACCTTTGAGTGGTTTTGTCGCTGGCACGGTTAGCTCCCGTGTCAGTTAACCTCAAATTTATTTGGGGGAGGTTAGGAGGTGGAAACCCGTTCGATGCGTAATCAATGCAAAATGAATTAATTAGTGTCTAGTCATTGTGTCTTGTTGATTGGTGTGTATGCTTGTGAACAGGTGCAATGAGGTAAGTGTGTGTTGATAGGTGAAAGCATGTTAGTGTGGCTAATTTACGCTTATGTACTCAGCTTTGTTGTTGTGTGTGTTTGTGTGTTTGGCCATATCTTTACTTTGGCCCTACGACGACCCATTTTCTAATGGCGAGTAGTGGGGACAAGTAGAGAGGAGGTTTTCAGGTGATGAAGCATATTCATGAATGGGCATGGGTGAAGAGCGAATCATGCTAGTTTCTATAAGTATATGATGTGTTTAACGCTTTAATTATTTATGATATTATTATCATGCATGACTAACGCAAAAGTTTTAAAGTCGGTTTGGTTTTAATAAGGGCCTACAATGGTTCCAAGTTGTAGGATGGTTTTCTTTTACTTCGTTTGACTTTGGTTTTGACTTTACTTTCGTTGGTTGACTTTTCAAGTTGACTTGTTTTGAACGGTTTTAAAGTTAGTCTTCCGCTGTGTGTCTTTGATGGTTGACTTAGCCGTTTTCACGGTGGCGGTAATATCTTAGATATTCCTATTTAAATTTTTAAACAGGGCAAAACGTGTATTTTGAAAGAAAGGAATTTCTAGGGTGTTACAAGGCATCACACAACAACCAACACAGAGAGTACCACAAGCCATATGCACACACACTTCATCACAAGACAAACAAATCCAACACAATAATAAGAACATTCCTTGTATAGACAACAATCATAGAGGGACTCATAACACAAGTAAACCAGCAACAATAAACCAAATGGAGGAAAAAATAAAGATGAAATGAGGAGAAGAAAGGTTATATGCTGCAGGGTTAATTGGCAGAGAACCAATCAGGATGCATATCCCTCAGAAAATCCATGTAATCCTCATCACAGAGAAGCTCAGGATCAACAGGTAGCCTAGATATGACCCTTTTCATCCCTGAGAGGGACCCTTTCTTCTGCTGTTTGGCTGTCACCGAATCACCACCTTCGACCGCCGCCTTTGCAGCGAACTCAATCACCACCCCTTTAGAAGACCCAACACCTTCCCCCTTCACAGATCCCTGCCCTTTAGTTTCCTCTTCCAGATCTGAAACCTCAATAGGGTTTTTGGGGGTTTTCCCGGCCAATTCAGACTGGACCTCACTTTCTTCATCAGAAGGCACATCAAGCTTCGCACCATGGCGAACCCTACAAGAAAGCGGCCTCATCCGAGCATGGCGCAAGGGTTTTATCTTCCCAGAATCTCTCTCACAGATGTATCGAGTCGCACCTGGAGGGAGGTCATCCTTTGGTGGTTTAGGGGGGAGATTCTCAAAGCAAAACAAGGAAGGGTCGTTTTTTCAGAGGAACTCATGGTCGTTGGAGAGGAAAAAAGCTAGATCTTCAAGGGGGATAAGGTGGAAATTTAGGAACAAGGAGAAAGCGGCGAGTTACAGCAGAAAAACTAGGGTTCCAAAAATACAGGAGAGAGAAAGTGTCGAATTTAAAGGAAGATGAGAGAGACGGTGAAGCCATGGAGTAATTGTAGGTAGTTGAAAAA